GTGGTTGTCACTTTCGATGGCTGCCTGGTGTTCCACTGAGACACCCTCGCCTTGTTTTATTATTCCTTCTCTGGTAGATATTTGGGTTGCTTCTGATCTTTCATTTTTGAAATAATACTGTGATGAATATCTTCAGGTTTATGGCCTTTTCCATCTTCGGGATTATTTTATAATTCTCAGGAGTGAAGACCCTTCGCTATTTTACATTTATTTGCCCAACAACCGTGCCAGCTGATCTGACCGTCTTCCGTGTGGGCTCACTATTTTTGCTCCGACTTCAGCGCACTGGGTGTTACTGTTTTTGTAAACTCTTTTGCTAAATCAATAGCTATGGACAGAGGAAAACAAAGCGCTGTCCCCAAGGAGTGTCCAGCTCTGCCTGTCCACTCCCTGCCCAGCCCCGGAGGAGCCTGTCTGGAGCCGCTGGCCTCCTGGCAGACTGTACTATCAGGGTGGAGTGGGCGCTGCTCAGAGCTCTCCCGCCTTCCACTCACAGCATAGTTTATCTTGTTTCAACAGCCAGAACAGTTTAATGGACAAAATAACACCTTCTCGGGAAGCAGCTACAGTAACTACAGCCAAGGAAATGTCACTAGGGTATGTTCTGATTTTAATTTTGGAAATTCTACCCACAAGCAGTCGTTGCATCTAAGGGTCCTCACTCTTCCTGCCCCAGCCTCTCTGGGCATTAGTGGGGGCCATGGGTGGGTGCCTTTCCTGGTCATCTGCTCTGAGGCACAGAGGTGGCCAGGACTGAGAATCCATCTCTCTGGGTGTTGAACCAGGAGCAAATGTGGGCCTGGCTAGTCCTGAAATAAATCAAGGCAAGGACAGGGCAGGGCAGCGGGGGTCCTGGGGAACCTGGGCCCCTGACCCTGCAGGCCCTGACTCATCTGGATGGTCTGGAGTCGTACTATGGGAAGCCTGCCTGGCTGGGCAGCAGGAGGTGTGGGCTTGTTCGCACCTCTGTTCTCCTCCCGGGGTGGTATTAGACATGCCCCACCACCCTGAGCCTCAGTGTCCCCATTTGTCAAATGGGTGGGGGATTCTGCATCCACTTGAAACTGGAGAGCTCAGTGGTTGAGACTCAGATGAAAGGTGGGGAGGCCCTTCCCAGGACCACTTGTCCTCCGTTGGGGACAGAGGCCTGTGGGAGGGAGGGGTTCCCTGGGGGAGGTTCTCCTCCCTTGGAGTGGGGGGCATAGCCCTAGGACCCTAGGGAAAGCCAGGTGTATGTCCACAGCCATATCCCTTTTCATCCCTGTGACCTCATAACCTATGTGTTGTTTGTCTTTCACTGCAGCCTCCCAGGCCGGTTCCTGTGGCAAATTACCCTCACTCGCCTGTTCCAGGGAATCCCACACCCCCCATGACCCCTGGGAGCAGCATTCCCCCTTACCTATCTCCCAGCCAAGACGTCAAGCCACCCTTCCCGCCTGACATCAAACCAAATATGAGCACTCTGCCGCCGCCCCCAGGTGAGGGCCCTCTCTCCCTCCTCCTCCGGCAGCTGCACCCAGAGGCCCCCGTGGGCCCGAAGCAGGGGGCTTGGAAGTCAGGCTGCCTGTGGGGGTGGGCGTGTGGAAAGGACAGGAGGGCTGGGAGCAGGTAAGCCCCACCCAGAGGGATGTTGGAGGTGGGGGCTGAGCTGCCCACAGCCGCCCTCACCGCCTGCCTCCCTGCTAGGGAAAGATGGAGGCGGAGCCTGGGGCTTCCAGAGCAGGGAGGCGGCTGGAGAAGAGGGGCCGCGTGGCTGGGGTGGGCCCTGCTGTGCCCTCGCGCACAGCCCGCTTCTGTGTTCCTCTGAGCGTGCCCCTCCCAAGGCCCCGGAGCCCCACTTGTGTGTGCCTGTCGTGGCCAGGGGCACGTGGCTCACAGGCTCCTTTCCCTGCCCCAGCCAACCACAGCGACGAGCTGCGGCTCACGTTCCCCGTGCGGGACGGCGTGGTGCTGGAGCCCTTCCGCCTAGAGCACAACCTGGCTGTCAGCAACCACGTGTTTCACCTGCGACCCACGGTCCACCAGACGCTGATGTGGAGGTGAGTGTCGGGGAGCACGCCGGCCCATGCGGGGTGAAGGAGGCGCCCGGCTGTGGCCCTGGGCCCGGGCGTGGCCTTGGACAGGTGGTAGCAGCATTTCTTGCGGCCTTCACCTTTTGGTGTCATTGCCTGGGCCGTGCCCTGTGTAAGGCCCTGGGGATGTCACTGGGAACCATGGGCATGAAACAGACAAGCAGCCACAGCAAGTGGCCCAAGGGCAGGGAGCAGCTGTCACTCACCCCAGTCCTCACAGAGTGTTGGAAGACTTCCCAGAGGAAAAGGTGGCCAGCTCAGACCCAAGGCTGAGAAGGAGGGTGTCTCTGAGTTGGCGAGAGGGAGCAGCAGTCAGGAATTTGAATGTAGCTCGTGTGGCCAGAGCCAGGAATGCAGGAGATGAGGCTGGTGAGGGAGGCAGGGCTGGGTCAGGCAGGCTCTCAAGGCTTGCAGATGGCAGGGGCTGCCCACTG